ATACCTATAAGTCGAGTTCCACCCAACGAATTTTGATAAGTTGTTTTGTTTTACTGATCTAAAGATGGGCATTCACTTCTGAAAAAATCAAGTTTCGATCTGTTTTAGTTTCCGAGAAACTATAGCAACAATGTCAAATACTCAAGTTCTAATGTCACACGCTAAAAGAAAGCCAATTTTTCTTTGTTCCACTGAGACTTTTTAAGAGTTTTTTTTGCAACTATTGTTGTAAAACTTTTCAAGTTCTTTCAGAATATTCGTTTAGCTCCAGTTTTAGACGAAGCTTCATTGATGAAAAAATATCGATAATAGCCGTTAAGACATTTCTCATTTTTGTGTAGAGCGGGATTAAAATCATGGGTATTTGGATCAAAGAAACTTCATTTGAACAAATTTGATTCAATATGAAAGATAAATAGGGAAAATAATTTGAGAAGTAAAATAGGTTTGTTTTATAAATCTTGTTCAAACAAAAGATTCACACAACATTTAGACGATATCCATACTGCATGTAGAATGATTTTAAAAATTTTGTTATTGCTGTAACTCAACGAGAACTGAATTGTTTGCCATAAAAATATCATTGTTCTTTAGGTCATATACTAGAGTAATATTTCAAGAAACTAAGGAAAAATCTTTCTCTCTTCGAGAAAAAAACTCACTTTCACTAGCAAAGTGTGGAACGATATTTTTCGAAGCAATTATAAACTAAGATTGATTGCTATATGCAAATAGCGCATACACCTCGACTCTGCATTGAAAACTGTTTCGCCATATCGTCAATTTCGTATCTCTGTTACATCCAAAAACGTTTCTAGCGCTAGTTTGACAAGACTTTCAACGAAAAATTGTATTTATCAGTTGTTATCATCCATAATTGCAGGAGCGTCTTATGAATTTCATCATAATAAAAGATAGGCATGTCGATTCAAACACTGACACAAGGAAATGTTGAAAAAATATTATTTTCACACACTCGACACTTCTCTATCGAATACAACACAGTATTCTTTTTATTATTAAATTTACTTTTATCGTTTTTTTCCTCGAACGAGACGGTGGCTGTGCTCTTCACTCGTATACGAAAAAAGATAAATCTAAACATCTCCTAGACTCGAGCCCACCATTCAAAATAGCGAATGTATACTTGAAGTAAGGGACAAAAGTTCAGCACACTTTTATTTTTTCAAATGCTGGCCAAGAACAACCTATTCAAAATATCGAAATAGTGATTTCGATAGTTCTCAGAGAACAGCTATTATAACTTTTGTTATGCAGAAACTTTTGCTCTAGCGGAAAAAAGTTTAGCACATTATTAATAGCTACTTAAGTTTTGCGTTATTTATCACCAACTGAATGTTGTTTTATTACCTAACCAGTGCATAATTAAAAGAGGTACACTGTAGTAAAAATTTATTTAATCTCATCAAAATATTAATTAACTATTGATTAATTAGCAAGTAACTATCCATTGGGTATTAGGTAGTAGCCAATTTATAACATTTCTTTTTATTTTCGACTTCTAAGTGTCGCATATGAGAGAGCATCAAAATTGAGTAAAATCTAGGTTCACGAAAACGGCGCCGTGAACGACCGTAAGGAGCTTAGAAACAATATAAAAGGTCGAAAAACAGCACCATAACCTGCCATGGTAGAAAACGAAGGCAATTAGTGGAGCAAACGATGGCCGTTTTCTACTGAATGAAAAGGCTCGTTAAACAGTGTGACGAATTACGACAAAATACGATCAAAATTAATGCACTTATTCACATTTTTACAGTCTTTTATGAGCATTTAAGATGTTGCTTCGACAGTCGGCATGATCCTTCTGAAAATTGTATGACTATTATTTCAGAATGAATGATCTTACGAGGAAAGTTCCCCAACTGGTTCCAAGCTTTTGACTTCACCTTTTGGCTATAAGTAGATTTCAGTGAGACTAAGAAAATCCTAAAAGGATTCGTGCTCATGGCCTATTCATCAAGAGTTATGACCGATTTACTGAATTTTCTGCCTATCTGTAGGTATTCACCGGGAAATCAAGTTATAAAAATCTCGGTCTGAGATTTTTCCTAAGGATAGGTCTAATGGCCATTAGAATACCCTGAAAGTTTCAACCAAAGAAAATGTTCTCTTCTCGAGATATTAAGTAGTCATGCGAACTCGATTTTCGTGACAAGCATGCAAAAAACGACTAGTTTTTGCAAATCCAGTATCTCGAGAGGAGAACATTAGTTTTGGCTGAAAATTTCAGAATATTCTAATGGTCATTGGATTTACCCTTCGGCAAATTTCAGACCAAAATCTTGTAACTTGATGTTTCGGTGAATACCTCCGGATAGACCAAAAACTCAGTAAATCCGTCATAACTCTTGATCAATAGGACATGGGTACGAAACCTCGTAGGATTTTCTTAGTCTCACTGAAACCTACCTATAGCTAAAATATGGAGCCAACAGTTCAGAACTAGTTGGAGAACTTCCCTCGTTAGTGAGGTTTTCAGAACGTTTTCAGTTTCAATTAATAATAATAACTATTATTTTTAATAAACTTAATTACAAACCGAATCTTCAAATCTAGCAAAACTAGAGTGTTTGGAAGAACAGAATTTGCTCTTTCAAACGACAGTCGCTGCTCTCTGTGCAATGTTTCATTTACATGTTACAATGCTTTCGAAGTATGGAATGCAAAATAATAGAAAAATGGTTGCGAATTATGACACAAATTGTCTCTTAAAGCTGAGGACGCTGTAACATTTGAAAGAACATCACTCAGAAGGCAGCGACATGTCGTTTGAAAGAACAAATTCTGCTCTTCAAACACACCAGTTTTGCTAAATTTGAAGTTTCGGTTTACACTTGAGTTTATTAATAAATAATAAACATCATAACTAATTGAAAATGAGAACACTCTGAAAATTTCACGAAGATTATGCATTCTGAAATAGTAATTGGACAATTTTATTCAGTCCTTGATAATCTCTCATATGAGATGCATGAAAATTAAAAATAACATGAAATATTATAAATTAGCTAATAATTAATAATTAATTAACATTTCAATATGAGATTAAATGCTTTTTACTTCAGTGTAGCCATTATAATTGTGCACTGATTAGTATATAAAACAACTTTTTATTAACGGTGAGCAACGAAACAATTAGCTAAATAAAGGATGCTCCATAAGTAACGATCACACTTGTATTTTTTTCTATATTGTTGTTACACTCAAAAGTAGAAAGGTATTGGATATATATAACGGGTGGCCCATAAAGAATTACTCTCTTAGTATTTTTAAGATTTCTCATCTATTATTCCTGTGATTAAATAAATCTTTACATCAAAAAATATAGCGCTTGAAATTCTCTACAAAACCATATATGATTAGATCCTAAAACTGTTTGAAGTATATTTGAAAAGATGAAAAATAAAGGCATACAAAAAGCTGTAAAAATTAACGCTTTGGACATAATGAATTGTAGCGCATTGCATGTAATGTTTTTATCACTTCGCCCTATCAAAGAAACAAAATATAGCAAAATATGCAGCATGAAAAGCTCTACAATTTACATAAAGCAGCTGATTTTATAATTGCAGTTTCTGTTTTCAGAATGGACATCATTTTGAGGGATCAGTTTTCGACCTCGCGAAAATGATATAGTTTTTTGACATAAGATCAATTCGCTTTGTTCTTATTTCCTGTTTTTATAACTTGCTCTTTGTAAATTGTAGAGCCTTTCGCGGTGTATCTTGGGCAATATTTTGTTTTTAATAAAACATATCAGGTAATAATTATAAGAAGATGAAATAAGAAGAAAAGAATTGATCTTATGCCAAAAAACTATATCATTTTCGCGAGGTCGAAAACTGATCCCTCAAAATTATGTTCATTTTGAAAACAGAAACTGCAATTATAAAATCAGCGGTTTTATATAAATTGTAGAGCTTTTCACGCTGCATCTTTTGTTATATATTGTTGTTTTTGATTAAGAAGTAGATTTCTTTTTGAAGCTGTGCGAGACTATCAGGGAGAAAAACTTTCACATTAAAAATAATTTTTTTATTATTTTTTTTAATTTGAATATGATCTGAGGTGTGCCAGTCATTAAGAGTTTGTGACTGTCAATGATGAGCAGCGCTACAGTAAAAACGAAATTGTCAGATGGAGGTAGGACGGAGGTCGTTAAGCAATGAAATTGGCCTTTTCTCGACATTAAGTTTATCATTTCCCAAGCTTTCAAATCACACGTCATAATTTCATTTCCGTCCGCTTTACACAGCTACATCTCATTCTTACTTCGTGTGGCTGACTTAAAACTCGATATCATCAATAATTTATAGGTTCATGCTATGCAATGTTTCTATCCAATGTTTTCTTCTCGTCGTCAACCCTTTTAATATTAGCTATTGATCAAATGAAAGCTATTTCTTTCCTCTATGGCATGAAATATATGAGTACGGCAACCATATTCTTTTTATGTTTTTTTTCTTTAGATCGTACTATTCTCTCACATATTCATTTATGAGAACACTTATGATAGGATATGCCACCTTTTCCGTTGTGCTAGTAACGACCCACTTTCAATTATATATCATTCGGTAGGCGTTTCAAGGTTCTAGAAAATGATGCTATTACTTTAAGCTTAATTTGTGGACAAGATGTTTTAGTCAAACGCATAATTATCCTGAGAGTTAAAATTTGCCTTTTTTCACAACTATTTAATTGGTTTTCGTCAAAATAATCAGATTTCCTAGAAAATCGACTAGTATATTGAGACACAACATAAAGAACTAAATCGATCTAAATATATCACAAAATTGTCCGGTCAACATTTTTTTCGCCCCAAAATTTAGTTCGGATTCCCTTAGAGCTGTGCCGAAAAATAGTCAGTCAAAACGTCAGTTTACTATGAAAAATCAATTCTAAATTTGAAAAAATCTACTAAATTATTAAGTAACATGGATGTGCATCACTCTTTGACATTTAATGTAGATGTAACAATGAGTACCATTCCAAAAACTGCTTCGGAATTGCAGTATACAACTGCTTCGATTCCGTCAACAACTTCAACAGAGACTAAAGTAGTCGAAGTAACAACTATGGGCTCAACTGTTTCGCTGGGACAAACTTCAACAATACGCGCACAACCAACAACTTCAGCGAAGTATTGCGAAGTAAAGGAATATATAAACCATCTTATTGCTACAAACTCTGTCAGAACAATGCCCACTGATTTCTTAAACAAGCATGATTTGATCTCTAGAGGTGTTGATTTCCCTGACGAGCAATCTGTCATAATAATTGACATACCACAAGGTGGCACTGTTGTTCGTAATGTGAAACTTCTTTCGAGCAATGTTGCTCAAGTTGAAGTTCGTTTTGCAACCAAATCTGGTAGTGAAATTACTTCACTTCGAGGTGCTCCAACATCATTACCCGCAGATATGTTTCCAACAGAAAAAGTGAGCAAGATTGTTATAAAAGTGACTAAAACCAGCGACAATTACTCACCACACGATGTCACATTATCAATAATCGTATGTGAGGAAAACTCTGCAACGTATTCAACTTCCACAGTAAGCACTGTGACACAGCTTTTAACAGAAAATACTCCCGAAGCAACAAGCTCTTTATCCATCTATGACACCGAAACGACGACTACGACAATCATGTTTCCATCAAAAACCAATGACCAAACGACTGTAGTAGGCGTACCACACACAACTCCAACAACTACGCAACAAATCATTCCCACGACAATAACAAATATAAGTTGCGAAGAAATGGAACTAGTTCCCATCCTCATTTCAACAAATGCGATTATCACAACACCAGAAGATATTTTGAATAAAAATGATTTGATTCATAATGGTGTAAACTTCACACAAATGGAGCCTATTTTTGTCATTGACATGCCCAAAGGTGGTGTAATAATGCGTGACTTGAAACTCACCTCAACCAATGTCATAGAAATCGAAGCAACCATAATGGACGTATCGGGAAACGAAATCGGAACAATTCGAGATAATCCATCCAATTCATTAAAAGCACAGCTTCCAACACAACTAGTCGGACAAATCATAATAATGATTAAACAAACCATCGCTGACAATCCACCTCAAAGCGTTACATTGTCCATCATCGCTTGTGAAAAAATATTGACGACAACGACAATGACAGGTAAAACACAACCCTATATTTGACATTACAAACAAAAATAAACATTCTGAAAATTTAGAGGGTTACACACAAATCAAACAATACACAACAACAACCAGTTCCATAACTACGACCCATTCTAGAAATGAATCGAAAAAGTCAACTTCGATACCACAGAAAACAACCAAAATAATGACCTCTTCGAGACCGGTAACAACAACTACTGCAGCCACAAAAACCAGTCAAAAACAAGTCTGTGAACACATGGAGTATATAGAAAAGCTTATTGCAAGTAATGCTGTTACTACGCAACCAGAGGACATTTCAAACAAAAGTGATTTCATCTCCAATGGAGTTGACTTTATTCATAAAAATCCACGAATTGTGATTGATATACCCAACGACGGTGTTATCATTCGAGATATCAAAGGTCTATCAAGTAATCTCCAGGAAGTTAATGTGAGTTTTACAACCATCTTGGGTAACAATGTAATTTCAATACGTGGAAGTCCAACAGCTTTGCCAATAGACGAATTTCCCATAGAAAAGGTCGTAAAGATTATCATCGAGTTGACATCGACTAGTGACAACAGTTCGCCTAAGGGTGTGACTTTATCAATAGTTGCTTGTGCTCCAGGTACAACGACAGCAATGACAGAAGGTAATATACCTATTACTTTCCTTCTTTCACGTCTAATCTCAAAAACAAAAGGTGTGATAAGAAACTATTCAGAGTTTTAATGTAGATGCTGAAGTTTTTAGGGGCTGCATTCGATCATCATTTGACCATCAAAGATCTTAGAAAATCTTAAGAATCGTCCTATGTGAAAAACGAGTTCTAAATGTTTAGAATAGTTCTATCGCGTACCATGCTTTTATTGTTGAACTCATTTTTAGAAAGATGGCTCTAGTACAACTCGCTTGAACTGCACTGAAAGAAAAAGTACCAAACGTGTTCTCTGAAGTTTCGCAGAATTTTACTTTATCTTCGCTCAGTAGTACAAATGCGCGAAACCTCATTGAAAGTTTCGTATCACATACATTGCGAATAAAAACTCTCCAAATGTCTCTCCAACGAAAGCTTCGTAGTGCGCCTTTCAAACGTACTGTATTTAGAAAGTTTCTCACTAAACTGTTTTGTTCTCGCATCTCCATAATAAAAGTAACTTTTCAGCAATCATAACCACTACTAATTTAAATCGTTACTTTATTAAAATATTCATCATTCAGTTTGCAATTGTGCTTCCACATTTCATTAGCACATTGAGACTATATGTTTTTTTTGTGCAGAGCTACTTCTGGGGCCAATATGACAAGCATGGAATACATCACTATCAAAATTTTCTCCACTAAATCGTTTAGATCTAAGTATCTTGTTGACAGAAACGGTTTCTGCACGCTAAACACCTCTCTATGTTTGGATTACATGAATCACTGCAACGATAACTTTTGCATAGCTTTGTGACGCTGATTATTCAACCGCATTGGCATAAACAATTGCTAAAGCTATTCCCTATGATATAATGCTTGTTTATCTAGCGGAACCCACCCACTCAAGTACATTCATTTCCGTCTCATTAGACTCCCATCACCTTCAAGTTGATTTAAAGAACAAAATACTTGCTTACTTTCAATCTAACATAGAGAGAGACGAATAGACACAATAGGCAGATGTAGACATCCAAGTGTTCGAGACAATTTACCAGTATGAACACAGGCATAGATGAATACATGCAACCAACTGATAGATACATTTCCAGCGAATAAGACATACCTGACGAAATAATGCATAGACACACGAAACTACATATAGACTCAGGGCGTGTTAGGCGTAGTGGTTTAGACAACCATATGGGAGATAATATATAAATGAAGAACCAAATAAAGAGAGAAGGAATTAAACATATAAATAAAATATAAAAATAGTACTAAGAGTTCATATAGATTTAAGCGTTACATATAGGAGTAAGATATTCAGGATAGAAATAATCGACTCAACACAGAATTAATGGATTAGGCATACAACTAAGACATTACATATAGACCTCAAAAGCTTGGATAAAGGGCTAAGGAGATCGCATAACAATTAGATGTTAATATCGCAATCAGACGGTTAAACATAGAAACAAGGAGCAAGATACGAGGGTAAATGGTTAGGTATTGAAATAGTGGTTGAGGTATAAAAAAAAGAGATTATATATGGTAGTAAGGGCTACATATAGAAATAACAGCTTGAAGATAAAAATGACGTGTCTAACCTAGAAATGGTCTACAGAACTAGAGTAAGTGCGTAGAATGGACTGCTTTTTACCAGAATAAAACCTTTTCTGCAAGAACAAAAAGAAAATTCGAGATAGAACCATATTCTATTAGACCTTGAAATGCCTCCGGAAATTATATCCACCTGTAGATTCCTGGAAGATTCCGCATAGCACCTATCTTTTAAAACGTAGCGTGCAGGTGAGAGCGGAAAAGTTAACATTTATTTGCATACTTTTAGGAACAACAAGTGTTGGTTCGAAATTAACGGAAGCGAAGATTTTTGAAACCACAATTCCTGTCCCCATGCCTGGCGAAACCAAAAAAACCAGTACCAGTACATCACCAAAAAGTGTTGCCACAACTGAACACATCCTAGCAACATTGACAAGGAGCGAAGGTACTGCTGCAAGTACCGACAAAACAGCAGCACAACGTCCAACTTCATCTGAAAGTAGCGAAGAAACAGTGTCGGTGATTAGGACTACTATATTGTCTCTACCACAAACAACCATGAGAAAGTACTGCGAACATATGGAATATATAGAAACGCTTATTGCTACTGACGCTGTCACTACTCAACCCGAAGACATTTCGGACAAAAGCGATTTAATCTTCAATGGAGTCGACTTTGTTCAAAACAACCCAGTGATCATTATAGATGTACCAAATAATGGAGCTTTCATTCGGGATATTAAAGTTCCATCAAGTAATCTCCATGAGATCACTGTGAGTTTAAAAACCATCTCCGATGAAGATTTAACTCCAATTCGCGGAAGCCCGACGGATTTGCCAACAGACAACTTTCCATCTGAAAGGGTTGTGAAAATCATCATCGAATTGACGTCTACTACTGATAATAGTCCACCTAAGGGTGTGACTTTATCAATAGTTGGCTGTGCTCCTGGTGGAACAACCCTGGTGACAGAAGGTAATTTTTGTTTTTATTTTGTAGTAACTGATAACCTGCAGATCGTTGCAATACAAAGGAAGAACAATGAAGGAAGAATGATGTCGGAAAAAAAGAGAGGGAAAATAAGCGACCGGGAGTGTAAAGATGTAGAACCGTAACGGTGTTTAACCAGAAATGTTGCATACGACATAGAACTCACTCATTGTTTAAAGATCAGCATGATAGAGTTGTAGAACATCAGATATAGCAAGAGCAGAGCGAAGTGCACTTGTAGGGTATTTTTCAAAATTTGTCGGTTCTCATTGAGTTTTTATTGATTTTAAGATAAGTATATACGGGTTTTAGTGCTGTATTTGCGTGAGTTTAATTATAAGAGATGAGATAGAGTGCCAACAAAAAAGGCGAAATAGACATAGTTCCTTAGCTTGTCTTCCGCCTATTTCTCAACTGTAATCACAAAATAGTTTCTGGAAAGTGTTGGAGAGGTTCAGTCTCTTCCGTATCATAGCTGGAAATAGAGACTACGGAGGAATTTGCAGAAATCCACTGGACGCATTTCTCTGGCATTGCCAGAGATCGTTTCATTCGTTTTCTGTAGAAAAGCCAAAAGTGGGTAGAACCTGGTTAATAACGGTAGAAGAAGATGAAGTAAGCAATGTTTCTCTAAGCTCGACAGTCCTGGCTTCAGAAAATCTAAATCTAAATGAGTTTATTGTTGTAAGTGTGTGTCTTATTTTTAACATGGACTTTCTTATCACTTTTTTCCACCCTAATTTTCATGTTAAACAGGAACCTAGGTTCTTCAATTCATTTGTGCATTTTATCGTATTTTTCTGTGTCATTATCTAAAATACTACAGACTCAACTTCTCAAGCACTCGAATGAACTTCAGGTTTTCTAAAATTTCTGGATTCTACGCTGAAAGGCAACAGTATTAGATTTGATCTAACAAATATTAGGCTTTTTCTTAAGGGTACCCCCCCCCCTCTCTTTTTGGACGGTTTCTGGTTCTCGAAGACGGCACGACCGATCACGCTTAAATTTTTATCACAGACATCGCATAAGAAATAATGAGACACGTGTTCGAGGAAAAGAATTTGAACCACATGTTTTTAGAGTTTTCTGAAAAACCTCGATTTTCCATAGGGCTGCATTGTAGTCCATTATGACCCCCCTGAAATTTTATCCGATTGAGCTGAAATTTTCATCATTAATGCTTGGAAGTATTCTCCAGAGGTATTATCGAGCGTTTTCGTTTCTGACTTTCCAAACCGGAATTATAGGTCCCGAAGTCCAGAATCCCGATCTTGCCGCGGGATCTTGGAGTATTTCTCTTATAAAAAAAGGAAAGTGAGATTTTTTGAAAATTTTAATTATACCTCTGAGAAATAGTCTTAGATATCTTAGAAAAAAATTTCAGCTCAATCAGATAAAATTTCAGGGGATCGTAATGGACTACAATGCAGCCATATGGAAAACCGAGGCTTTCCAGAAAACTCTAAAAAAATGCGGTTCAAATTTTTTTCCTCGAACACGTGTCTCATTATTTCTTGTGCTCTGTCTGTGGTAAAAATTTCAGCGTGATCGGTCGTACCGTCTTCGAGAACCAGAAACGGCCCAAAAAGAGGGGTGGGGCACCCTTAAGATGTAAACATTAATTTCAGTACTTTGCTACAACTTGGCCGGTAAACATTGCTGCAAAGTCATTAGCGAAGAAGTGCGATGAGCACAAACACAGAATATCAGGCATGTCAGCATGATATGTAATGAAAACTTAAGGTATTCAAATTTCCCACCGAAGAACGCCTTTGTAAATGTTAATCAATCGAAACATTTCATAATTTCTTTAAAGGTAAGCTGTTCGATTTCCAACGCAAGCTCTAATCTACACTGCGTACCTTAATGCGATGTATATTTCACCAAGCTTCTCGACACACCCTATACGCATTAACATGTCCGAGGCACTTCTAAAAACAACAAAAAATGCGTCAATTACGGACTTAGGCTACACGAGAATGTGCACATCCTCTAAGAATAACTGTAATCTCTATCACATATAGAATTATAACAAAAGCTAACTTTATTCGACCTTTTATTGTTACACATCTGAGGTGCGATGAGAAAGCCAGCATTTAATATTCATTTCGATTGCTTACAGGAACAGCAAGCATCCATCGCGACTCAACAGAAGCGAAAACTTTTGAAAGCCCAATCCCTGCAACCACGTCTGGTGTAACCAATTTAAGCAGCACCAGAACACGCGCAGAAAGTGCTACCATAACTGGAGGGGCCATAGAAACATCGGAAAAAAGTGAAGCCACTATTCTACTTTTCGAAGGAGCAACAACACCAACTGCAAGTTCCTCTGAAAGTATCGAGGAAACAGGATCCCCGACCAGCCATATCACATCTGCCATGCCACACACGACGACGAAAAGGTTTTGCGAACATATGGAGTATATAGAAACGCTCATTGCTGGTAAAGCTGTTACTATTGAACCAGAAGACATTTTAAACAAAAGTGATTTCGTCTTCAATGGAGTGGACTTTGCTTACAACAATCCACGAATTGTCATTGATATACCCAAGGACGGGGCCATCATTCGAGATATCAAAGTTCTTTCAACAAATCTCCGGGAAGTTGATGTGACTTTCACAACGATCACAGATGTTGATGTAACTCGAATCCATGGAAGTCCTACACAGTTGCCAACAGACGACTTCCCGATAGAAAAGGTCGTGAAGATAATCATCGATTTGACATCGACTAGTGACAACAGTTCGCCGAAGGGTGTGATTTTATCAATTATTGCTTGTGCTTCTGGTGGAACAATGATCATGACACAAGGTAATATCACTGTACTGCTTGTTTTTTCATAAGCAGACGCTGGATACTTAGTAGTTGTCATTATGAGTATGTAAAAATCATGAGTACCAGTAGATTTTTTGCAGTGCAGGTACAAACAGTTTTTGCAAATTGTACGGTATAGTTGTACTGAAGTACATTTACTTAATCCAATGGTACTCTTAGCGGGTACTACAATGAATTTGCGTTCAGTACTTTTACTAAAGGCAAATGTGCTTAAGAGAATGATTTCTTTCGTAGAAAAATGCTTTTAGGTTTTGCACTTTTGATGTTTTCTCGGTTACATAAGATTCCAAGGGTATCCTATCTGTTGCACATTTTTATAATTCCAACATAACTTCAAGGTCATAAAAAAGTGTGCTAGCGCAGCCTGTTTGATACTGAAATGTGGAAGTCATAAGCTTTATGTAGCTGCATTATCTAATACAAAATCAACAAAGTGTAAAGTGTCCGAAAGGCAGCAGTTCTTTTACAATTATCATAAATTTTGAGCAAATCCTGCCTTTTTTATTTCTGCACTTCTAGCATAAAATTTCTTCTCTGCTCTTCTGCGGGCATTCTTTTTTTCATTTTTCTCATTGTTAGTTATTCATCATTTTTTTAAATTTCGTTTCTCTTAATTTAACATTTGAATTATTATAAGCATTGAATTAGATAGCAAACAAGGCTATTGTAGGTATGCATTATTAAATCCCTGTTGTTACCCAACGGCTTTAAGAATTAAAAGAATGAGAGGATTTTAGAGAATTTTACTTGGAAAACATAAATAAAATCGCATTTCTGATGACCAAATGGACATTATTTTTGATGTTTCTCAATTTCATACAACAAAATACATATTTTCATCGAGAAAATTCCATGAAATTCACTTTTAGTCAAAGTAACAGTATTATATGGATAAAAATATTCATTTTAATCGATGAACTTTTAAAACACCAAAAATAATACCCATTTCGTCCTTTCAATAGCATTCATTTCATTTTTGAAGTCACTGGGTGTGCTCCAGTGTGAAATGGACCTACACTAATAACCAAACATTTCTAATTTGAATCAGTTTCTGATATCTACTTCACTAATTTGCCATTATTCACGAGAAGTTACCAGCCACATATCATATTGATTTTAATATCAATGTCAAAAAATATTATGAACAGCCCCAAATGCTAATGTGGATGTCCCTTTCAATCTCCTTACTACTAAAGATGTCATTAGGCTATGAAAATGGTTGGCGTGCGTCAGGAAACATAAATTCAACCAAATATATTACTGCACTTAGGTGCATTGTACTTAATACCCTTGTACCCAGAAATGGTCTGCTTACGAACATCTACATCAAGCTAGGGGTAGCAATTTAACCTTACTTTGAAAGCTACAGTTAAATTAACACTTTAAACTTTAAATGTTAAAGTTCCAGTAAAACACTACTACAGTTTAACTTTAAAAACCTACATTCACAGTTACAAACAAATTTTTGCTCTTCATGATCATTTCATTACTGGTCCCAAACGCAACCTTCAAATTTAAAATTACAATCATACTACCTTAACTTTAACATTAGAGCATAAAAGTTCGGAGTAACATTTAACTTTAACACATAAAATTCACAGTATCCCTTTCATTTTAACTATTCAAGTGTAAAGTAATATATTACAATTTAACACTTTCTCAAAGAATTTCAAACCTTAAAGTACTACCCTGTACATACATTACTCGCAGCAGAGTAGAATACATTCAAATCCCAATGTAATCAGCATCAGAACTGAGTAAACCGCAACTTAAATAAAATTTACTCAACTATAAGTAAAAAGTAAAATCACTAATTCAAAACCACTAACAACAGTACCTATTCTACTTGAAGGTATCATATGCCTATCCATAAACCACCTGAAAACAAACCAACACCGATTTCATTATTTTAGCTACTACAGCTCCTGTTCCGAAGACATCGGAAACAATACCTACAGCTATAATAATCCCTGTCACAATGCCTAGTGAAACCGAAACTACAATACTATCCATTGCAGCAGCAACTCTTTCCACAATTGGAAAGACGACAGAACCAACAGAGGCAACTGAAATGGCTACCATCACAAACCATACAGTAACAACATCAGCCGCCACTTCATCTGAAAGTAGCGAGCAAACAGTCTCACTTAGTAGCACCAGTACGCCACAAATGCAAGAAACAACGATGAAAAAGTTCTGCGAACATATGGAGTACATAGAAACTTTAATTGCAAGTGATGCTGTTACTACTTCACCAGAGGACATCTCAAACAAAAATGATTTGATCTCACGTGGAGTGGACTTTGTTGACAAGAATCCAAGAATTATCATCAATATACCAAAGG